GGCCAAAATTATGGATTTGATATGACCCATGGATAAGTTGAGGATCATTCCCTAGAGCTAGGAAACTATCAGCACTGCCCCAAGAAGGTCCAAAATTTGTCAGACATGGTTTACTGTTTATGGGAGAACATGGATCAGTTTCTTCAATAGGGACTAGAGTAGTGAAATGCGTGGGAGCACTGGAAATTCAGCTGGGCATGGGGTATCTCCAGTGCACATTTATCAAATTTTTTAGCATACAGCACCCATTATTCCCAGGTAGACTCCCATCCAAATACTAACCACGTTCAACCCTGCTTAGCCTCTGAGATCAGATGAGATCGGGCATGTTCATGGTGGTATGGCTGTAGGCATTGTTACAATCTGACAGCACTTTAATTGCTATGTCTTCGCCTAACAAAATATTGGGGGGGGGGGGTTGAAGTTTCATAAGGTACTTCTATTCTGTATATTCCCCTCAATAATAGCACTAGCACCCTGCTGCAAAGAATTCTTATATATCTCATGAAATTCCAAATTTCAGAATTAATTTGCATGGAGATATAGCAATTAAAATAGTATCCAACTGGAACAGTTGTGTAGTGTGGATACACTCCGGGTAGCACATAAGGGAGATGTCACATTCTTTCCCATTTCGCAGCACATTTCAAGCTCACAGGTCTTTCAGACTTGTCACTAGAACAAGAACTCACTAGGGGAGTTCAAGAGATTGATGCTTCCTTGAATCAAAGCCTTGAGTGATCTTAACACCAGGCTGCTAGATTTAAGCATTGCCTTGCTCAGGAGCTTAAAAACAAAGCACGGCACAGAGCAGAAGGCAGAACAATCTGGAAGATGACAGCATAACACTGAATGTGAGGCTGCAAAAAGTGATGGATAACATTAATTTAGTTCTTTCTGATTATTTTTCTCCCGTTTGGTCTCCACTGACAAATGTGTCCATCCACAGTAGAGAAAGAAAGGCTGATGGCTTTCCCTGATGGCATTCACTAAACTATAAAGCTTGGGTCTTCACTCAAGAAAGTTTCTGCATAAATATGGATTACTGAGGCTCAACCATGGCTTTGGGAAATCAAAAACACCAGACTCATATAAAAAATAATAAAAAGAGAAAAAAATAATAAAAACACAATACAGCAAAGATGTAGTAGGAGAATGCAATTAAACTTTAGTGCACAGTAAGGATAAACAGGATGAACAAGTTATTTATTTATTTTGATGTGGTGAGCAATTTGTGACCCTTTGTGTTCAGAAGAGAACTTGGAAATGTTGCTTGTGGGGACTAAAACTTGACTGGCGAGCACGGAAAGGCATTGAAGGATATCATATGAGGGAGCTATCAACATGGTCAAGGAGTGGTCCTCCTGATGTTAGACTGCAACCCTGAGCATTTCACAGGGATTACACAACATCCAGGTTACAACAATGGTCTGTTTCTGGGCATCTTATATAACTATAACACCTGATATGGATCAGGTTCAGGTTATCCAAAGGACTATATTTTCCCATAAAAACCTGCCCATGTTTGGAGATCTTGTGGATCCTCAGTGGCTGCTTCCAGATTTTGGAACTCTTTTCCTAGAGAGATTTGACTGTAACCACTGTCTTTCTGCAGACAGTGAAGACCCGTCTATTTTGGGGAGGCATTTGAAAACCAGTTGCTCAGATGGATGAACCTTGTAATGTGCTAGATCGATTTTCCCTTTTGTGTGTTGCAAAGTTTTACCTATGTCAGTTTTAGCTAATGTAAACCAACATAAATACAAAACTAGGGTATGTGGAGATAATGACAATGATGATCCCCTCTATTGGCTATGAAGATGCAGACTGATGGGAAATGTAATACAACCGCATTTGAAGATCAGCAGTTGCCCACATATTTTCCCCCATATGTAAACCTCACAGTATTTCTATGCTATCATGCATGCTAAGACTTGTTATGTGATGGGGACAATGGAAGCTGATTGACGGACAATCATCTGAAACAAAACAAAAAACAAAAAAAAACAACAACTCTGCACCAAGCTGTCAAGAATAATGCACTTGGAAATGACAATCACTCAAGAAAGTGTGGAGGCTGAAAAACATCTGTCTGATTTGCCTGGCCATTTTTATATATATTCTTTCCCTAATTGGGAAGGTTTAGAGGGAAAAAATGAATTTTGTTTTTGGTATTGAGAGCTGAATGGCTGTTACGATGGATGAAGCAGCGCAGTTACAGAATTACCAGTGCATAAGTCCCACAAGAACTTTTTCAGCATTTCAAGCAAAGTAATGGTCTGCCTGGTTATAGAGCAAATATAGCAGACTATTTTATTATAAAAAGAGGTTTCTAGTTTCCAAAATTCAGTACCAGGAGACATTGTGGGAGGACCACAACATTTGAGACCACATCAATTGTTCCAAATTAAGCCGCATCGAGTCCTTTGGGAGATGCTAGCGGGGTACAAATAAAGTTTAATAATAATAATAAATTCAGGACAATCCAGGGCTATATGCAGCTCAAATTCTGTCATGCTTCTTTAAAGTAAAATGTTGCTCTATGTTCCACAAGCTTGTGTGTGTGTGTGCATGCACATGTCAGGAGCAACTTGAGAAACTGCAAGTCACTTCTGGTGTGAGAGAATTGGCCATCTGCAAGGATATTGCCCAGGGGATGTCTGGATGTTTTACCATCCTGTGGGAGGCTTCTCTCATGTCCCCACATGGAAAGCTGGAGCTGACAGATGGGAGCTCACCCTGTTTCCTAGATTTGAACCGCCAACCTTTCAGTTAGTAGTTCAGCCAGCACAAGGGTTTAACCCGTTGCACCACCAAGGGCTGTATAAAGAAATATTGAAAACATGCAAAATATTCTCTCCTCAAACCAGGGCTGCACTAACACTTAAAAAACTACTATGATTTTTTCCATTTCTCAAGAGAAAATAAGATAATGTTGATCTTTCAATTGGCTGTCCAAAATACAATGGAGTCAACAGTGTTATGTTTCATGTTCCTGGATTTTTTTCTTGACAAATCACAGCATATAAATGCCAATTTAACTATCGTTTTCCCATTCTAAGAAAAATAGTTTTATAGAGAATTTTTGCTACAGAACTCTGATGCCTCACCAAAATGACACATTTCGGAATTTCCATAAAATGGACAAAGAAAATGATATCAAAGTGTTACGTTTTTGGAGTAGAAAATTGATTCTGGAACCCACAGACTCAGCTTCCTTCATTCTCAGTTCCCACAGGTTCTTTATGACAAATATCCAAGTGTTACACCATAGTTTAAATGTTCAAGATATCACATTCTAGAGCTTAAAACCATCAAATGAATAAATCTCTTTCTGCTCACATCCCACCTTGTGCCACAACTTTAGAAATAGTTCTGAGCAAAATCAACTAGTTCTTGAAAAAACAAAGGATTTTTGCAAATGTCAACTTATAAAAATGTCAACTTTCACATGAACATTTTCACCAAATGGGATGGAAAAGATTGCTGCTTCCAATTCTCTCTACTTTTTCTCCATTGTTTGTTGCCGTTTTGTGCAAAAAAGCCTAATTTGTGCAAAGAAAATTATTTTGCACAGTTTTTCAGTTTTAAAACAAATGATTTGATTTAGAACAAATAAATATATGATTGCACAAAATATGATGCTTTACACTAATTTTCTTGAAATACCCCAGCGGATAGCCATCAAGTTTCTGTTTAAAAATCTCCAAACAAGGAAACTCCACCACATTCTAACATGAAAGAACATGAATGGAAGTTCTCCGACAAATTGTTTCAGTCCTCTACTTACTATGTGTCACACTAAAAATCCAGGTATAGTCTCAAAACTCCTTCCGTATCATGTCATTGCATGGCAATAAGAGATCATTCCAAGGTCAACCTCATGATAAGCCTCAATGAAGCCTCAACCTCTGTAACTGGCAGCCAATGAGAAAAAAATAGGTCTCAAGCATAATTTACTAATAATAGCTCACTAGGGGCTGTTCTAATATGCAGCTGGTCTATATCAGTAAGCCACCAGAACAGAAGATGTAAGAGTGTTGAACATATGTATCTGTCAGTAAACTTTTATCTCCCAAGAACAACCTAGGGTGTATCTACACTGTCAAATTAATGCAGTTGGACTGGACATCACTTTAACTACCATGGATAAATGCTATGGAATCACTGGAGTTAATCATTTTAAAAAACTTTAATGATCAAATCCTAGGATTCCGTACCCTGCTATTGACTCATGGCAGTTAAAATGATATCAAACTGCATTAATTCTACAGTGCAGTTGCATCTAAGAAAGATAATACTTTTTTGTGGAGGTTGGGGGTACCTTAGATATCTAAACAAGTTTCAGAAGGTGATGGGATAATTATTTTCTAATGTGACAAAGTCACAAATTAATATCTGAATTATATGTCTAGTTATGATGTAGCATGAACTCATCTATTCAGACTGCAACTCATTTCAGCCCACTTCAGCTCTTATCCAGGACCTTATCTAGGACCCTTCCTTCTTCATACAAGAGATTCGTCATAAAAACTTAAGTACCTGATCTCATTTTAAGGCTCAATGTGCAATCCCCCCCCCTCAAAAAAAAACCTAGATAAAAGAAGTAGTTTATTAAGGAGAATTGTCTTTGCATTCCCTGTTCATTATTAACAGAACCATCCTCCTTGTTGCCTGGCTTTTTGTGTTTTACCTTCAACTCACGAGTCATAGCAAAATCCATAATTTTGGTCCAAAAGCCTCTTCTCCCACATGAAGTTGATTTACAAATGAGTATACACAGTAATATTTCCAGGTTCTAATCCTGAATGGTCTGTAGCCCAAAGGCCTATTATACTAGTTTGGAGCATGCCAAAATTTTCTTAAGATTCTCCCTAACAAACAATTTTCTTATATAGGCTGAGTCTAATAGTCAACTTTCATGCAAATAATATTCTCCAAGGTCAATCTTGCACTTTTCTTTCTTACTTTTAAAGGACCATAGTGAGTTGATTATTTACCTTATAGATATCCAGGAATCCACACTGATGGTCAAATCGTGTGTAGAGCTCATTGAGCATACTGATCACCTGCATGGGAGTACACTGAGCACAGACAGCAGTGAAGCCAACAATGTCAGAGAAGAGCATGGTAACATCATCAAACTTCCTTGCTGGAACTTGCTTCCCTTGCCACAGCTGCTGGGCCACTTCTTCTGGGAAGATAGAAATCAGGAGATCCACTGTTTTCTTCTTCTCTTCTTCCAGAGCTTGGTGGGTTTTCTCTAGCGTTGCCTTCAGTTTGTCCATCCGCTTCTTTAAGCCATCCTGGGCCTTGGCCTGCTCCCCAACAAGAATGACATCACGGGTAGCATCATGGATAGGTATGTCTGAAAGGTGGAGACCACGACCCATCAGTTCATCCAGTTTGTCCACACATGGTGAACCCAAAAACAAAATGGAGTTTGATTCTGGAACATGAATCATTTGTCCTTTGATTTCCATTACCTGCAAAGAACAGACCGAGAATAATTAATAACCCATTTGTGATAATATCAAAATAAGATCTAAGAGTAAAGTGTGAAGCCTGCTGAAAATGTGATGGGCTATTTTAACTAATGCTTTACTTGATCAGTCCTTTTCCCCACCTTGAATATGAGTTAACAAATGTGAACATGAACTTGGTTGTTCAATTGATTATCATCATTTTTACCCTGTCATTTAAAGCTTAGAAATATTGATATAATAAAATATGAGACACACAATTTTTGATAAAGCGAAACAAACAAAGAAAATATATGTAATATTCCACTTTTCTCCCGTTTGGGACTCAAAACAGCTTACATTACACATTTAAAAAGCTGAAGCAATCTGTAATACAAACAAGCATTAAATAACCCACTGAAAAACAATGATTTAGAAAAGTTTAAAACCTATTAAAGCTGTATAGGGCTTTATAGATCATGAACAGCACTTTGAAGTGTGCTTGGAAATATAATGTTAGCAACTAGAATTGTTGCAACGAAAGAGTTATATATTCTGGACTTCTGCATTTTGGCTAAACCTCAACCCGTTTCTGCTGGCTGGATACCTGTAGACCCCCATATCCATTTTTGCCCAACTCCCAAAATCAGGTGGGTATCCAGATAGTCGTTTTCAGTCTACAGCCCAAAACAGCGGCTAGATCAAGTGGCAATGGGGAACTTATGAGATTCCCCTTTCCATTTCTGGGACCCTTTCCTTTTTTCCTTTCCTTTTTCTTCAATCTCCAGGTTTAATGCTTTCTTAAAGCTGATTCTATTTTCTATTTTAGAGGAGAGGTAATAAGGTGGTAGTAGTTTTCAGATAATGAAGATTTCTTTTTGTTTGTTGGGATTAATCATCATCACCATCACCATCACCATCACCACCACCATCATCATCATCTTTTAGACATATTTGAGAGAGGAAGGGAAGGAGAAAAAAAGCTAACTGGGTCACTCTCCCAAGCCCCCACCCATTCTACACGTCCCCAACTCCAGTCAGTCCCACTAAATAAAAAGAATCAAGAAAATAAATGAATATAAAGGAAAATAAAAAAGATTACACTGTAATGCCAAATAGGGGAAGAGGAGCTGAGATTGGCTGCAACGTGGCTCCATTTCTTATAGGAATTCGTGATGTCTGGCCCCTTGCCATTACGGGCACCCAAACATAACAGGGGAGCCAGATTGGCTGGAGGAAATGGCTAAAAACAGATCCAGACTCAAGTCTAAAATGTTCCTTGTAATCAGCCCTGGTTAGTTATCCAGAAGTAGCATTTTGGATCTGCTGAAGTTTCCAGACACAGTAATCTAAACAGCAAGTAATCAAGATAGGATACACCAAGGAACAGGTGCAGCTGTCACACTAATTGCAAAAACACTCCTGACCATTGATTGTCAGAACCTGGGACTCTAGGTTCAGCGTTAAATCTCAAGAGTATGCACAGGATATGAACCTGAGATTTGAGGAGGAACATAAACCCATCTAGCACAATACATTAAAGAGCCAAATACATGCTAAAATAAAGGGGTCTGGTACATCTGCTATCAGAAATGGAGCACTTAAATTCCCATGGAAGGGAATTCTACAACCAGGGAATAGTAAGTAACCGAGAAAAGCTCCCTATTCTACAGGGAGATAGGGTCCTTCAAATATCTGGACTTCATCTGTGTAAAAATAATGACTAGAACTTTGAATTCTGTCTAGAAATGGGCTGGTAGCCAGTGAAGGTGTTCCAACAAGGGATTTACATATTTAGTGTGTGTTGCCAGTGGGTTTCCCCTTTGTCAAATGTCAGTTGCCCAGTGAATAATGGCACAGTGGAGAAATCCTGGAATGTTGCATAGTCAATGGAGGCGGATTCATACAATGATGTCCTAGTCAGGAAACCCCATGTCCTTTAATCTCATGTAGAACGATAACATGAAGATTTCACCAGTCATAATTGCATGCAGATAGGCTTGAGATGGTTTGAAGGCCTGGCTTGATTTCCAAAAAAGAGATCCATCCATAAAGGTAAGCTCCCACTCGCTTCATCCAGTTATAGCTTTGCTTCCCAACTGGAGATGGAATCTGTTGCAAGATTATGTTGATTGGGGATAATTAAAGCAAAGTTAAACACACCTAGGGGGCTAAAACTAAGGACAAGGGTGATATTCCTCTTCCTTTTCAAGACAAGATAAGAGAAAATGCTGCTAAATTGCTTCCTTCTTTATCTACGGATGGTTAACTCTGTTCTCAATTTTGTTCAAACAGATTTTGTGTGTGTTGGGCAGGATGACTCAGGTACATATGTTTTGACATTAGGAAGATAATGTGCAGACAGCCTGGAGGGAAATAAACATAATCTTAAAATTTCATGTACAAAACCCAATACAGCCAATATAGCCAAATATATTTTATCAAGAGACTTTATAAAAAAATTGCTCATGCATATTAAACCCTGCTTTCAATTTAGGTTACTATTCTTTCAGAAGACCCCTCAGGCGTTTATGAGCATGACACAGCATAATAATGGCCAACTGGTCAGGTTTCTGAGATGAAATATCACAACAGATGTGCACATCTAAATGAAACACAAACATTCGATAAAGGGACACAGAGCACAGATCTGCCCCCAGTGTGGCATATACAAATTGGAAAGTAAATTAGTTTCACATTTTTAATATCACACAACACAAATATCAACCACTTTCCAACCCAATATGCCAACCAGAATGTAATTATCCTTCTGACTCTGCATTTCTCCATAGTTTGAGATTTAGTTCATTGTTAATGAAAAAGGCATATAAAATGTTTTCATTTGGAGAAAATGTGCACGAAAACACACCTATTAGGATAAATGTGTCCATTAATGAATACATAAGGGGGAATGCATAGATACATTTTAATTTCTCTCTAACCTAGCCTTCTACAATCTCTTTCCAAAACATGTGTGTATGTGAGTAAATTTTGTTTTTGCTACAGTAGTCTAACAGGAATATCTCCTTAGATTTTTTTTTTTAAAAAAAATGCATAAACTTTACTGGAACAGTCCTTTTCCCTACCTTGAATATGAGTTAACAAATGTGAACATGAGCTTGGTTGTTCAATTGGTTATCATAGAATCATAGAATCAAAGAGTTGGAAGAGACCTCATGGGCCATCCAGTCCAACCCCCTGCCAAGAAGCAGGAATTTTGCATTCAAATCACCCCTGACAGATGGCCATCCAGCCTCTGTTTAAAAGCTTCCAAAAAAGGAGCCTCCACCACACTCCGAGGCAGAGAGTTCCCCTGCTGAACGGCTCTCACAGTCAGGAAGTTCTTCCTCATGTTCAGATGGAATCTCCTCTCTTGTAGTTAAAAGCCATTGTTCTGCGTCCTCATCTCCAAGGAAGCAGAAAACAAGCTTGCTCCCTCCTCCCTGTGGCTTCCTCTCACATATTTATACATCATTTTTATTCTGTCATTTAAAGCTTAGAAATATTGATGTAATAAAATATGAGACACATGATTTTTGATAAAGCAAAACAAACAAAGAAAATATATTTAATATTCTACCTTTCTCCCATTTGGGACTCAAAGCAGCTTACATTACACATTTAAGAAGCTGAAGCAATCTGTAATGCAAGGTATTAGGTGAGGAAATTTCCTCACCTAATTACTGGGTGGGAAATTAGGTGAAAACTATATGGAAGAAAGTGTAGCTTTAATAAATTCTAATTCTACTGAAACTGAAAATGGCATATACACACATTTGGACATATTTATTTATTTATTTATTTATTATTTGCACTTGTTAACCGCCACTCTCAGCCCGAAGGCGACTCGTGGCGGTGTACAGAACATAGAACATAAAGACAACAGTTACAATAAATCAAGACCATAACACACATCTTACTAACACAACTAATTAAACTAAAAATCCGCTCGTCATGTTTGGGTCATAATCAGTCTCGTAGCCATAGTCCATTCCGGTGGTCATTCCAAAAATATAGTACTTAGTTGAAGGCCTTTTCAAAGAGCCAGGTTTTCAGGCCCTTGCGGAAGGCCATGAGGGAAGGCGCCTGTCTGATTTCAGCAGGGAGGGAGTTCCACATATAATATTGTATTTATAGATTTATAGTATAGACAAATGATAGAGCTCCGTGAACAATACAGGCCATGGAGAGACCATGTTGTAGGTTTGCCTCTGAGACTAAGGGTGCATCTACACTGTAGAATCAATGCAGTTTGACACAACTTTAACTGTCAGTGCTATGGAATCATAGGAGTCGGAGTTTTACAAGCCTTCTCAGCTGAAGAGTACTCTTGCCTCACCAATCTAGAAATTCCATGATTCCACAACATCAAGCCATGGCAGTTAAAGTGGTGCCAAACTACATTAATTCAATTTTTAGATGGACCCTATGGGAACAGGGCTTTGCCACAGTCACTTAATCGGTTTCCATGGCTAAGCAGGGATTTGAACCCTGATCTCTTAGAATCCCAATGCAACACTACACTATGTCTCTGTTTGTATTTGCAATACAATTCTCATTGAATTATGAAGTACTTTGGCTACATAATGAGAAGACAGGAAAGCTTGGAGAAGAGAATGATGCTTGGAAAAAATTTAAGAAAAAAGGAAGAGGGGCCGACCAAGGACAGGATGGTTGGTTGAAGTGGCTGGCTTGACCCTGAAGGAGCTGGGGGTGGCGACAGCTGACAGGGAGCTCTGGTGTGGGCTGGTCCATGAAGTCACAAAGAGTCAGAAGAGACTGTACAAATAAACAACAACAAGACTCATTGAATAGCGCAATCCTAAAACAGGGACAACAGGGTGTCTGGAGCATTGTTTTTTCCCCATTTGGAATAGAAGTAATTGTCTTGTATCATAGATTGAGGAACCACACATTTGGATTATGCAAATGACCAAAATTATTTGTTGTGGAAGCAAATTAGTTTTATGAATAAGAGTCTTTCCCACATTGATGGAAAGAAAAGTTTCCAGGTTTTCTTCAAT